ACATGTTTTATGTGCTTCTTCCAGAAGGGCGCCTATCACGGCACAGTTTCACAACGTTGAGTCGACGATTTCTGGAAATGGACGATCAACCTAGTAATGGTGACCCTTTTCCGAGGTTGGTATTTTGCAGCATAACTCCATGCGCTTCATTCCTTCCTTTTATTCTGGTGTAACAGTCGTGAATCTTCCTTCAGATATCGTCTCAACTTTGATGATGACACACCGTCATCCTCAAGCGAACGCAATAGACCGATCCACACACCGGCTGAGAACACTACACCGTTAGAATAAGATTAAATATTGAAGTTTCAGAAGAATACCCAATTTTCATCTTGTTTTAGAATGAGCCGTCTTTCGAAGTCTGAAGGTAAAATACGTAGAGCGGATTCGCGTGTATCGATTAGTGACGCCAGTAAACGGATGGCTGGATGTGGAGACTGGTCTCCAACAAGCAGTCGACGCCTTTACGATTCCGATGACGACTCAGTGGAACGCTCTCCAAAAAGTCGCATGTATGTTCCTCTAGAGTACGATCTGTGTTTTGGTCTTCGTAGACGAAATCACTTTTCAGGACTATGTCATGCCCGCCCTATCATCAACCCCTGCGTCTTCGCTGCCGTAATCGTCCTATTCCTCGCCTCGACTTCTCACGTGTAGATGAGTTCCCAGAAGCATTCTCGTCGCCAGCAACAACAACCGATTCAACAGTGTCGTCGTTATCATCGACCCAACGGACGAGATCGCGTTCAAAAGTTTGTAAGCATAGTCGGATGGTAAGCTAATAGGTGTTCTGTCACTTTTCTCTCAAAGTTGGGACAGATACCTTACCTTGGAGGTTCCCTTTTGATCATTTTCGTGGACCCCAACAAACTCTATGTGTTGTGTTCAGCTGTCTATTAAATATGAGATTACACAGGGGATTGTATTAGATGGAATGATCTCGTATATCTGGAAAATAGGAAAGGAATTCGAGAAAGTGAGGAAATTTTGTCGAAAATTGTATCGCGGGTGGGTGGTTATAGTAAGAGGAGTTTTAGTAATTGACGTAATGCTACTATTGACTATGTGTAATCCCCTCTCCTTATCATTCTTCACGTCATTATGGTCTTGATTTGAAGTCCAATCGAGTTTTGAGATCAACTCTAATAGGTTATTGGGTGGACGAATTCCGCAATATAATCCAAATGAACTCTATTTCTTCCTTTCAGATATCTAACACGACAAGCTCTGCAGAAGAAAGTGTCTAGGCTCTGTAAACGTATCCTATTCTCAGGCTAACTAGAAATAATGGTTTCAGTTTTGAATATTTTACTAATAATGAAATGGTAACAGATGCATTAAAGCTCGTGGTCATATGTATTCTTTTTTTTGTGATTACTAACGTGTCTGTTACTGGTAATGGGTGCTTTGATTGAAACGGTGTTTTGTTTATCGCTGATTTGTTGAATTCATTAAATCCATATGCATTAATCCATTATAGAGTCTATAACTATCTGCTTATATTGTGTAATATTCTCTTCATTTCAATAATAGGTTCGATTTATGGAAGGTCCAATTCTGATGACTCCGTTTTGTATGATACTGCTTAACTGTGTGACTGTTTTGGTAACATTTTTTGGTTATATTATTATCTTTCTCGTTTTCAAAACCTGGGCGTATTTGTTTCCCTACATTGTCTCATGTCTCTCATTTTTATTTTATATGATATTCTTGTTAATAAAGTGATGATTGTACATGGATATGCACTTCCTTAGAAGTGGTATGCATCACTTCATGTGGATAGGACATCGCCTTCCACTTGTTGGTCCGTTGTAACTTGGGAATTAGTGTGTCGCATCATACCGGTGTAGATTGCATCAGCATCAGAGGATCGAACGACCAGTCAATAATCTACCTTCCCAACTACAGCCATCATCGCGCGTTCAGATTGAGCATAGGCTTGCTATTAGTATATTATAGAAACCGTGAATCCTTACCACCAAGTTTTTCGATAAAGTTCCGCCTAAAAGTCAATGTCGTTACTTTGTCAAATTATCGGTCTGCTTGCAGTTCTAGTATAGCCTGTCAACTGCATATACTGGGAAAATTTTCAGAGCAGATTTTTGCAGCTTCTCAATGATCGATATGGCATGATAATTACAGAGTTTGCTTAGTGAGTGGTTCTCATTCAGTATATAGAGATTAGTAAGCGATTTTAACAACTTAAGAGTAGTGTCGAACCAAATTTAAATACTTCCACCAAGCATTCAAGTGTCATATTTAGGTCCCTTCAACAGTGGTATAGCAGTAAGAATGTACGATTGCCAAAGCGATAGGCTGACTCTGCTCACCAATGTGTATCGCACAGTGAGGCTGACTCTATTGACACTTGTATAACTGTGCAGTAAGTGCGGAGTCCCGAAGGCTATTTGGTCCAGAGGAAATAAGATTTTTGAAGAACCTTAGGATCCAGATATGGAGCAGCAAGTCGAAGAACTAAATATGTGGCATGAATTGTCTTGCAAAGTGGCGCGAGATGCGGGATTATTACCTAAAAGAGTTATGATATTGTGCAGGTATTGAGATATTTACCTGCCGACTGTATGAAGTGTCCTTAAGTTAATGCCTGTTTTTGAAGTACCTCAACGGTCGAAGACTAGGACTCTGCGTTTTGCTAAAGGTCACACTTAATACTCGATTATGCTGTCTACGGATAACTGACTTCGTACGCTTCGAATTGAGGGCATTACGCCTCGCGCTCTGTTCGCTGAACAGCGCTTTGGTATGTTGATCCGATGCATTCAAATTTTGCCACAATATGATTGACACACCCACTCTAGAACCCCTCCTCTCCAAAGGCTTAGTCTAGGGCTCACAACTTACTGCTTGAGATTTGGAGCGGAGCCAGGCGCCGTTCTCTAATCGTCTGTGCTCTGGCCTTTCGCGGCAGAGAACACAGGGGCGAGTTCAATAGTACACCGAGTAATGTTCTGTGATTACGTTGAAGCTCAGGCGCCTTACTGGATAGGATCCTCGGATGTCCAATGAACGCCCTGGTATGAACCGGTCCTACTTGATTGTCGCAACTTCTTTCAACGAACAAAAATCCTTCTGAAGAAAGGATGGATAGATTCCGTGTACGCTTGAAGAGAGCTATGACCCCTGACGGGCAATTTGATGATCAGTGGGAGAAAGGTGATCAGGTAATTTCGTCAGAACGATCAGCGTTATCGCCGTAATAACTTCGTAAAGCATACATTTGCGTTGATCATACGTTTCCATTTGTACATTCGCAGTGGCATTTGAATGCGATGTGGCCTATACAATGACTTGCGGGGGCCAGCCGATGTTCAAGTCAGTGTTTTTTATCCTCCCAGACAAGTCTGGTACCAATTAACCGACCCCGGGATGGAAGGCTTGGTTGGCCCGGGCGACTCACGACCCAGGATTTGATCCCGGACCGCTCGCAGTCGGTGAGGCACTTGTACTGTACACTTCGCCCGTACCAGATATTAGGATGAAAAAAATTCGTTGGAAATAAGGGTAGAGGTGGAGCGCATTGATGCAACTCTTATCGGTGCTGCTCTTTTCAACCCTTAACGGTTTTCTGCTAAACGGCTAGAGGGTCAGACGCGAGAGCGAGGCATACCGCGATACACTTCAGCATGTTAAGTGCCTTTAAAGTTACCGTGCAGCGAGTGTCTCTAACGACGACGCATGAAACAGATAGCCATTACAATTCTTATAATATTAGACGTATGTATTTATTCTGAATGCGAAAAATAACACAAAATACTACATATATGTCCAGGTGAACGGTTTGTCAAACTGCTTGAGATATTCCTCGGTTTCCTTCTTCTTTTTCTCTTCGTGTTCCTTCTTGTCTTGTTCTGGATCTGCAGGCTTCAATTCGACATTTTGCAGTTGGGCAACGTCCAACGAAGAACACGCTGATCTCTTGCTGTCTCTACAGAATATATTTTAAAGAGTGTGCCGATAATTTTCTATGGGATACGATAGGCAATACGTTACTAGGACTGAGGGTAATACGGCTGCTCAATGATCCATTTTCAGTGGCAGTGGGCCCTTACAGATGACGTGATGAGGCAGCGAGAATCACTAATGGGTATGCGAACAAACCGTGCGTATCGATGTGGAAGGGTGGCAGTGGTATTTGATCTATAGATACGTTGTCGTTACAACTCCGTCTTATTACTGTAGTGCACTCTTTATCAAAGCAGCGCACTCTTCATATCTCATCAGTTGTATATTTTGCATAGGGTTATGTGTTTCAATTACTATCTCAGCTTGTTCTAGTTTTTGGAACCTGAAATTCAATTGCGAAAAGAATTTTCTGATAGGTATCGTTCATGATTAATTTCCAACACGCACCGATACGCGGATGCGAGTCTAATACGTATCGACGTAGTAAACCACGCCCTATTAGCGTTGCTAGAGGATTTTCGCACCGCCGTTTCGATGCTGCGATCTCCGATTGACTGATCGATAGACACTCATTCCTTTCAAGAGGATTCGCAGATTCGAATGCGCGATTCGACGTCTCCTCCCATTTTGTGGATCAATAACGATACCATGCATTCTTTAGAAGATCCGCAGATTCTTCGAATTCGGCGTTCATTCTCAGTGGAAACCTATGAACAACTCAGACATTTATAGTACGTAGCGCGAGGTAGCAATCATCGTGGAAGCCGGGGATCGGCTTCTTAAATGGTGGCCGGATTACGGTAACCGTTAATCTGCACTGTAAAATAGCGTAGCCGAAGCGTTTCGCCCCTTCCCCTACGCGATTTCTATGTTGAAATTTCTGAAGGCAGGCAGCGATTGCGAGAATTTTATGGTATCAAATATGAAAGCAGAAGTGCCATGTTATGTGGCAGTGAATAAGAAATTGAACAAACGTCCAATCTGGAGAACTGAGGCTCGCGTTTTACCCGTCGAAGTTGGACGAGTTTATGGCTTAGATTCGGCCGTGTTGGGTAAATGTGCAGATTAAGTGTGCAAGGATTACAGATAAAGGGCCCGTGATTCGAATTGCACTTTCGTCTAGGAATTTAAAAACATCCTGCAAAAGCGTATACCCAAATTATCAACATGCACGTGTGGGACGGAGCGGTCCGGACAGCCATTGCTTCTCGTTTCGGGGTCTTATACGCGCCCAAAATAGGAGCTTTTTCGTAACGATGTAAACACTCGTTCCGGAACGAGAGCGTTCCCTTTTGCATTATGCTCAGGTTGTAAGTCCTCGTATTATCCTAACCTGTCTGGTGCTCTGGAAACGTGCGCGTCATTGTGGTATTAATGGTCCGCATGCCATCGTGTGGCACGGACTTATTCCACCACAGTGGGGGTCAGGCGTTAATTCCCGGAGATTATGTAATTTCAAACTTGTTTGGTAATAAATGCTGATCATATTATGGTGTAAAATCGTAACTTATGTGGGCTTAGGCTCATCGGACATGCTCATTAAGTGTAGATAGGTATGTCATGTTCAACGCGCTAACCTACGATTTCAGATAGAAGTGTGATACATGGCGCGCCCAGCAAGTGGTGAATCCAGGTCGAAAGTTTCTATTCATCTTATGACTTCAACCTACCTTACCATCATCTCCATTTCTTTATTTCTCTGCATCGCAATCGTGAACATTCCGGCATAATGCTGAAAGGAGAAGGTAAGGACAAGAAACGAAATTCTGCTAAAACCTGGTTAATCATTGAAAAAAGCACGTCCGTACCGCGTCACGCTGGTCTGTGAAAGCAGTTTTCTTGCTTTCTTTCTCGCTCGAGTGTGTCACTGCCACATCGCCAGGTGTCGGTGGTTCTGGCTGAGAATGCTAAGCTTTTTATTTGAAAGAGTTGTATGTAGGAAAAGATCTGCTCCTGAGAGGATGTGGTAGGGTTATGGCAGTTCTTGAGGACCCGGGGTATAAGTACAGTAAGCGAAAATTGACGATTGACGAACTATGTACTTGAAGTTCACTCAATTGTTTGCAGCGAGTGGCCAAGCACAGACGAGAGAACACTCAGCTCCAAGTCGAGGAGGAAGGTGAGAGCTCCTAGACTAACCGGAGGGAAGGGGAACTCCGGGGCGGGTGAGCCAATGATAGTGTGGCAAATTTGAATGTGTGAGATCACAGAAGTCATGAGCCGCTGTCAGGCGAGAGGCGCAGGCGGGAGCATCTAATCGAGGCGGTTTAGAAGGGCCGAGTTCAAGTAGTTCCTCAAGGAAAGATGTCCAGAAACGAACACGGTCTACTAGGCAACGCACCTGAAACAGATGTCCTTCGGTTCTGGCTCGTGGCTGATAAGTTTCGAGAACATTGGCGACGTTGAAGTGGGTTCGACGATGACGTGTTAAAGCATCACCATGAATGAAGTTCCACTGTTCATAGAGAATTAAATATCAAAAATAGCCACAATAAAAAATGAAGGCGCTCATGCCGTTGGCGGGGTGGAGTAGACCTACAAGAGGGTGAGCCACTTACAGCACTTGGACTGGTAGCCCCAAGTGCCCCTTCCCTAAGCCTCAGGGACTGAAGGCTAGAGAAGGATTTGAGCAGATGGTGTTCTCCTTAGCGATTTCTCCCCTCTCCTGGGCTTGGTCCTAGTGTCACCTACCATCGTCCCTGTTTTGAATGTCCCCCTCCCCTCCAAGGACATGAGCGCAAATTGAAAAATGTAAAAGTTGATATTAGGGTGAAGCTTTTGATTGGGCAGGACCCTGGATTTGTAAGGATTATCATTATTGAAGGCATATCTCAGGATCTAGCAAGTATGACTATGCGTGCAGTAGAGATGCGAACAATGAGAAAAAAGAGGTGAGGTCACCACAAACTCTCGGAATGAAGGGCTCAATTCTATAGGCTGTGGAGGGTTCCAGGAGACAAGCGGCGAAGGTGCTGAAGAAGCAGAGAGGGAAAAAATTGATGACGAGAAAGCATGAATGCGAGCGAGGACGGATGTGGATTAACGAGGTGAGTTCATGGGCGGAACCCAACTGCTAGTGGAATCCCATGTGAGAATTCGAACGTAACGAGGTCCCCGACGTATCGTGGACCATTACGACGTTATTCGTGAAGCTGGTCAAAAGCGGTCTTGCACAGTCACAGCTACTGTCCTAGAAGCTATTCACCAGTCAACCGATTGAAGAAATTATGTAGCAGCTTCAGGCTGGAACGATTACTTTAGGCCTTCTTGAGCTCAACGGTGATGGAAGATGACGTCATATTTTGAGGACGGTGAGGGCAGTGGAAGAGGGCCTGCTTCTACTCATACATATAAGGGATATTTTGCTGTGAAACTTCCATCAACAGCGGCACCCTGCGCGATGAAAAGCTTGGTGATGCGTCCCATGGGCAAAGTGTCTTTTTGGCTTTTGGCTATCCCTGTATACCGATGTGTTGATGAGTATTTGTGTCGCCATTCTATTTGGTCGATCACACAGTGAATTGGGGGCTCAGGTCGCCCTGTGACCATCTCGTTTATCGTTCAGATTCGATGTGAGAGTTGCCGTGTGTCGACTTTTTGCTCAATAGTTAATCACACCGAAGAAAGTGATGGGCAAATTTTGCTATACATCTGTGCGCTGGTGCTACTACATACTAGGTTTGGGTCATCGTGGCAGAAGAGTCCACCTTACTCACCTATACTCCCTCTCCTCCTGCTTTCCCTTAAGCTTTAGCCACCCGGTCCAGAGAGCCAGAGAGAAGTAATGCAATTGTTATTTTGGCCGAAGTTACCTCCTTCCTAGTAGCTCATATCCGGCACCCGACCTTCCCCCCCCCCCCTCCCCCGACGACACCACCCCGCGCCCTGAAATCCTTATCTTTGTCTGTCGATGCTCAGAATCGCATATCAAAGCTGTTTGGCCGTCCGAAAGAGTCTATTACGCACCCAAAAAGCTTCATATGACGCTATCAGTCCCAATATACGGTAAATGATAAAAGCAGAGGTGTCGTGGAGGGTCTCAGGACATCTGTCAACCGCTGAGGCTTGGCGGTTCAGCGTTTTGTAGTGATGTCTGGGAGCTCTCACAAGTGCACACTATCACAGCATCTCCTCTTTCTTTATCTTCTTCAAAAGGCTTAGTCCCAATAAGACACAAAGTGTGTGCTTTTCCAGCTACGCTCTCACCCTTGGTTGACAGAAGCCTTGTAACCGTCGTGGAGCAGTGGTGAAGAAAATAATCAAGACAATAGGCCCAAAACTCGTTAAGGATCCCACTCTTTTCAGGCTCGGCCGGCCTGTGAAGCAAAATAGGAGACGAGTCAGAGAGCACTCTAGTTCGTGATCGCATATGCGATTAGGCGATTGGGCGACTAGGCTATGAGGAAAAGGATACATATCGATTGGGCGAGTAGACGAGTAGGCTATTAGGCGGCCGCTCGAATGGTAGAGCCAACAATCAATACGTATCCATTCCTTCTCGGCTACTATCCGCTTACTCGTCTAATCGCCTAATCGATACGTACGCTTTTCCTATTAAATACTCGCCTATTTGCATAATCGTCTCATCGCGATATGCGATCGCGAACTATGAACGCTGCCTTAGGTGCTAACATCGTGCCAACTCAATCACATCGATACGGGCGCCTCTTGAATCATCGTTTATTGAACTTCTTATTTTTTCAGTGAAAGCTGAGAACTTGTTTCAGGCGAGTGTTTCCTCAGTTGAAAGTTAACCAACCTCATGCGAGAAAGCACACAAGATAAGGATGAGCAATTGGGCAATGAGCAGCGTGGCCTTGACGACGATCCATTGCGCTACAACTTGAGCAAATCCTAATGAGCTCAGCATCAACACGGAAGCATTAAATCGGCTCCTAAATGGCACAGGACGGTTGTCTGAAGGAACGGCACACATGGCCTTCAATCGCAATAAACTCACGTGTGATGTGAGCCCTCTTTGGACAGCTTCTTCGCAGATTCACGACTACCGGTGCTCATCCGATGATTGCCAAATCGGCAGAATCACACCTCTCTCAAGCAGTTAGGCTGAGAAATGAACCCGTCCGAGGTTTCTTCTTGATCCCATGAAGGTGATATGAAACTGATTAACGCTTCTTACGAAGGTGATACGAAACTGAATAACGCTTCTTACGAAATGGTATGTATCATCAAATCCATCACTTTAATATCAACATCGAATACCTTGTGATTTCCTTCAAAGAAATGCCTTCACGAGACAAAGGGTGGGAGGCAGGGTGAATAACGGTCGAGGAATTCCTCGACCATCGCTCTCTGCTGTGCGAGAGTAGAGCCGATAGTGAATGTACGCGCGGAGAGCACAGACGGCTCGCGGGTGGCGAGAGTGAATATCCGCGCGCGAGAACGTAAAGGATCAGGCGAAAATCCTCGACGTGCCGTTGAGGAATCCTCAAGCAATATTCACCCTGGGGAGGTTATACTGTACGCGCAAGGCCCGAAGTCGTATGCAGCAAACCCCGAGGGTCGTGGAGATATATCCCTGAAGTTCGCATACAACAAGTCCTGAGAGTTGTAGGGGAAATATTCTCATCCCCTCCCGAGGCATGCTGTATACAGTACGCCGCAGCCGTCGGGATACATCCCTGGCCGGCGGTATATCTCTGACGACCTTATGCAGCAGTCCCCAATGATCCAGTGCGCGCGATATATCCCCTGCCGTTCATTGGGCTTGCTAGCATGCGGCCAGCAATTCACTTCTCTAACACACTTCTTTACTGGTGGAACTTCAGGAAGAAAAATTAAAATATCCTTGACATCTGGCGCCTTCTTCGATCATCGAAGTGGCCGGAATGGCGCAAGGGTGACTGCTAATACACAACCGTAAGAGCAACCTCCGCCTTAGGACGTTATTGGTGGGTTTGGGATCCCTTCTATTTTATCTGACATCACTCTCGTCCTTTTTGTCAATGTTCTATTATTTCTCTATTTCTCGTTCTTCCTCAAGATTCAGTGCGTTCCAAAAGTCGTACAAGCGCGCTAAAATCATGGGTTCCTGAGTATGGAATCCGGAATGCCATCGGTGCAAGACCATCGTTTTCTCCCAGGGTTGTTCCCGATGTGACTGTTTGAAATGTAATTGGAATTTCCCCGCCTCTTCGTTGCTCCCTGGGAAAAACAGCGTTGTGGGCGCTCTCTTAGCGTGGAGTGCTGTCTTGCAAATGGTCTTGTGGTCGTTGAAGAAACGTGTGCAGAATTCAGTATGCCGATCAGTAAGGTCACGCGGTGTGGTGTGTACGGCAGACCATAAGTGCTAACATCAACGACAGTTAGATTGACTGGAAATATCTCCAGGGTACGAGGAATCATTAATTATCCCGAAGCATAATATGGTCATATGCGTATTGTGAGCGCGATGTAATTTTCGGCTTAAGCACCTTGACAACGCGACACCGCTGACCACTACTGGTCACTCGGTCCACCACCTACAACGAGTAACACTATGCTGATATCGACTAAGCAACAGAAAGTGTCACCACTTCATTCTCGGCAGTGCAAACGTGCTGGGCCCTTATCCTATCATCTCCCAAGGGATAGTGAGAGCAAAAATCCCTTGAATTTTCTCTGTCTTCTTAACAAAACTCGCTCTGAGAAACTGTATATTCGTAATGTATACATATGTGTAAAAGCAAAGAAGTGCGGAAACCAAGGGAACAGAGAGTCGTGAAAACAACTAAATTCAATGGACTTTTTCTGTCTCCTAGGCCTGGGGAAGGATAGGATACGGCCCCTGGAGATCAAAATTGAGAGTTTTCCCCTTGTTTATGATGAAAATCCAAAAAATGAAGATCGAATTTGATAATTCTGAGGAGATTCGAATAATTTATCAGCACAATCGATTTCGATCACTGCTTTCTCTCAGTTTTACTCATGTGTTACCAACATCCGTAGATCTCCTGATGTCTGAAGAACACGCCTAAGTGATCTCTTCATGTTCGATGGGATACATGCAATTTGTGAATCGTGAATGTGACTTTCACTTTACTCTATAACTGCTACTTATGCTCAGATAGGCGAATACTGTATCCTATTGCATTTAAACTTTCAATGACGTCGTCTATACTTCGCAGTTTTTTGTAAAGAATATCGGCCCAAAGAATCCATCTACATAAGATGGTGAGCATGTCCCAGATAGTTTTTCTAGCCCTATTTCATATCACAATCTTCAGTATTCTGCAATAGGGACCTTATAGGATTACAGTCAACGAAAGATTGAGCAGCAGTATCTCTACAGTACCTACCCATTCTCAAAGTACCCGACCTGGATGATTCTGTAGAGCAGAAGGCACAATCATTCTTAACGAGTGGAACAAATAGTGGAGTGGTTTGTAGGCAACCGTCACTGGTTGCTATTCCAAAAATTTGACGACCCTATCCAGCAGTCCCCTCCCCAGGGGACCCACATCGATACGATCCCCCACCACGACCACGAAAATTAGCCGCCCCAAGGGAGCCCCTCAATACGACTCCCTCTTCCTCATCCTCGACCACCATCCTCTCCGTCATGGCAGTTTCTATTGTATTTGATGCTGATACCAGTCGGCACACTCCAACTCAGTCCACGTTCCCCTCCAAAGACTACAAATGGTTGCCGACCGGGGAGGTGGGAGGGGGGGGGGGGCAAATATGTTTGATAAAGCTGCAGATCCCTCAATTTTCTCTATTTTTTTGCATCTTTCGTGAAGATTTCAAGAGAATAACTAAAACTTGTCAACAATGACCCCCTCTCCCGCCACCACAACCCATTCAACTGCCAAAAATACGACCCCCTTTTCCCAACCTTTTGGCCATTACCAACCCCGAATACGACCCCCTCATTGAGAACTGCGCAACGCACGGATGACTCTGGTTGTAGGTTCCCAGCGTTGAAGTTACGTGTATCTTAGTCGTCGTGGGACTAACATCGCTGGTAGTCTCTTCGTAAAAGAACCCTTGAAATTCGATTTCTTAAAGTATCATCCTTTTAAAGGTTGTATTGTACCACATCAGTTATTTGCTGTTATTACTGCTGCTTTGCTATTTGCTTGCTATTACTGCTTACTTGTTGTAAAACAATAAGTTTTATTGCACTTGAATCTGGTGAAGAGGAAACTGACTTCTCTTACTCCTACCTGTTTTCCCTTCCTCACTCCTTCATGCCAAATGACTCCTTTAGGTGTATCCATTTGCCTCATTTCTTCCCCGATAACCACCGCATACACTTCGAGGCATCTTTCGAACATTATTTTCAATACCATTCTTCTCGAAAGCTCCTTTTCTCCTGCTCGCATTTTCACAGATGAACCTCCTTAATATTTTAACAATCTCAGGTAGTTCAACTGACAATGCTCGGAGAATAGTGCTTATTTACATCCTTCATATTCCACTGGTTGATGCATTTGATTGGGGAGACTTCCATAAGGTGAGAGAGAATGATTGACTTTTGTAAGCGAACAA